ATTGGACGAAAGTGACGGTCAATTCAAGCTGATATGGCTGAAGGAAGGACAATTATACCAACGACATAAGTAGATGGGCCATTTGTTCTGAAACTAATACCAGCCCCTCACGGCAACCCTCATGTCCTTGCTGGTTGTTCAGACGCTCAGCAAAGCCTATTTGGTTCCCCTTGGACCAGAATCAAAGCGAAAGCGTTGAGACAATCTTCAGGTCTTCAGAGGACTACGAAAATAACGCGTGGTGTCACACCGATCTGACCGTGAAGTGGCACAAGGGACCTACAGTGCATTGACGCGCCAAAGTGGCATGCGCGAACACAACACTTCCTCTCCGCAACTACAATCATCCTCACTTCATCAGCCCTCCTCGAGTAATGGCTCTCAATCTTCAGAGTACTTCGAATATGGAGGGTAAAAAGATGTCGATGGGTAGCTTCCGCTACCTGTCTCCACCATACCCTCCAACGCCGAGGTTCGGAACACCTGCACACGAGTTTGGGCAGTCAAGGTTACAAAGATGGATTCAGGACTTATACATGGCCGAAGGCGTCCCAGTAGAGGGAGTGGAGCCACTGGAGAGATCGAACAATGTAAGTGCTCACCAATCCTGGTCCGACTTCATTGGTTGCCAACATTGTCGATACAGGACGAGAGCTCCGAAGATGGGGCCAACACCGCTGAAGCCTCCGTTTTCTGCAGGGCTGCAGCAACCCGAGGATCGGGGGGTTGGATACAACCTCAAGAGGCGTCGCCTCTATCGACAACGAGCGAAACCGCAGCGGGTAACGGCCTCCCCACATTCGTCGATCCCTTCATTAGGCATCCGAAGCCTCACAAAGCATACGCACCCGAGTGGGTAAAGCAATGCGAATTCCTGGATGTGCATTGCGAGGAGAGACCCCCAACGTTAGGTCTTGAATCCCCGATGCCGTACTCGTGGCCGAGATCGGAAATCACCATTGTCGGTCGTACGCGGTCAAGACACGCCAAATGGGATGAAATAAAGGAACTAGAGAGCGACCAGGATAACATCGACTGGACGGTTTGGCCATACATCGGTACGGCTGGTCCATGCAACACTTACGAGAGTTACGTGTCGTCTGCACTACATCGAGCCTCCAAGGTCACTTCGGTGCGATCTGGAGGCGATATTCGAGGGTATTCGCAGGGCGCTGTCCCCACAGCACGCTCCCCTCACCATCATCACGATTCTTCTCGATTTATGGAGCCGATTTCCTACGAAGATGCGGTGAACTTGACCGTCCCGGAGCGAAGTACACGCGTGAGCTACTTACATGGCGGACGGGGGCGGGAGGATGATGGTACTCCACGTCGAGTGGCTGGGGCGCGGATTCGCCAACAACTGGCTTTGTTGGAGCTGATTGTCACGGAAATGCGATCTAGAGATTCGATTCATCAACAGTTGGTGAGTGGGTTCCAGCTCCAGTGCCTGAGGATATCGGTATCATCAGGCTAACGAATAATGACAGATCAGCATCATCGTAACCTCTGGTGATACAAATCGACATACTATGGGTTATGTATGATGGATGATCTTGAATGTACTTGCATGAGAGATGGCGATAATGATGTAGCGGGGTGGTTGAATATGACAGATTGGTCGTACCGTTTCTTCGACAAGCTCGCGATCGGCGAGATGTGTTGCATATATGCGCTTGAGCTCTGGAGGCACAAAACCTGGAGGATGAGGCTGGATTCTGTCGTGCTCAGACTTTGGACGAATGTTCCCACGGCCAGCGAATGCACATTCTCGTTCAACCAACGCGTCATCTCAACTTCGATATTGTCAACGCTCCTGCCCAACACGACTCTCGAGCATTCACTGATTGCGTGGGCTAATGCGTTTATTAGATGATAATATCCTCGCTGCTCGTCGGTTGCGTCGAGGTTTAGAGTACGGTGGATATATGCACCAACCCCTCTCATGCCCCCGGCGCCTCGCTCGACCGACGCTCCTCAGTGCAGTTAGCCGGCGCGCCTAATTCGCCCTAATGATCACTCCAATATCTTCCGTACGTCCTCGCCGATCAAGCTATTTCGTATGTATAGCGTCCTGACGTTGTCCAGTGTCTAGTAATCTTGGTTACTCGAGTTTGTCGAATTCCTTCCGTCAACTATCAAAGAGCTGGCTGTCGACAGCGGGAGAACCGACCTAGGGTGCTGGGCTCGTTGGATCTCTCGTATTCGTGATGAGCCCTCAAGTGTTCTAACTGGAGCACCCTTACGATCGAACACTACCATCCAGCTGGTATCGGCTGTTCTTCTTTCCTAGAAGTTGTTCTCCTTCTCCCCCAACGAAAGTGATCCTGGCAGATCGCAGCCACGGGTGACTCGGTATTCGATCGATTCACTGATCGATTTTCTCATTCGCACTTGCATCACAGAACGCCATAGCCTTTCTAAATCTACCAACGGCGTCTCACCAGACGGTAGCACTACCCCAGCCAAATCTGTTGCTAAGTGCTCCCCAGAATCTGTCGACGGTCGATGTTTGAGACACCCTGCCCAGACTCACCGCGGCAGTTGATGGACAATTCCCACTCCTCAGCTAAACTCACGCTTGTCAACACGGCAACTGGAGCTCAGTGGCCAGCGATCTGGAGATCGCTGATCGCACCCTCTAGATTTCCGCCGGTCGTTGCTCTGAGCTCGCTACCCCACACGCCTCTGTGGTCTTTGGGAGGTGCTCCCCCACCCTCTCCCACTTGATCTTCCACTTACGTGTCTTGTGACCCCTCCGAGTACAGCCGCTCAATACGAGTATGATGTTGATTGGGAGTATCGCTACCGGTTCTTTCGCTGTAGGTCTGCTTCGACTCGCATGGTTATGCCATCTTGATGTTGGGCTTTGCTTTTCCTTGGATTCCCATGACTCGTAGACTACTCACACCATCACCGCGGTGTCAGTTGGCAAACACCCCGCCTCGGGAAGTTCTTTGTGCGACACTGAGACTCTCAGGCACGGGTCCTGTAGTCGGTGACCTCCACGTATTCTTTCGGCATGAAGTACATCCTTCAATCTGACTTGAAGATATAGCATCTGAGCCAATGTCATTGCACGAATTTCCTTCGTAGCCTCCTCATTTTCGCGCCAATGCTCACAGTTTCCTTCTTCCCACTTCAAGGAAAACCACACGGAAACTTGATTCGACCAACTGCCCCATATTTACGAGGGAAGAATTGCGAGCATTTTTGTCAGCGGGGAATATCATAGTTTCTCAACTGGTGCTCTATCGAAGTATAATCCGAAGGTAAAGTGGATGTACCCTCTGCAGCGGTCGCTCTATATTATTATGGGTCATGCAGCAACGTCAAGACGAACCGCCGAATCTTTCGTCCTCAAGAATCCTGGCCGGATCCCATGATCCCAACGATGGTTTTCGGTCTTATGACATTTATGCCAGTTAGTTTCGTTTTGGGGATGGCTACGTTTGTCACGTTCCATTTTACGTGTCGCCAGCTCACTGGCGAGGGAGGTGCAGTTAACTTCTGGAGTTGAGGACTTTCGTAGGCCTTCTCAGGGAAGAACATCGGAGACGGGTAAGTCGTGTAGCGATCCAGGTCGTTCTGGAAACATGGTAAACAGCCGTTATTCCAGGTCAGTCCTTCATTGCAAGTCCGTGGAGGTTAGCGGAGAGATCACGTTGGACAGGATTGTCTTCCTCGTTGACTCTTTTTATTTGGGTGGTATGAAAGCTCCACAGTTCGTCCGCTCCAAATGTGTGTTATTCGCCAGAAACTATAGCTTCACGGTTTCCACCAGAGCCGCCGTTGGCGGACGCTCCCCATATGCGAACTGCCGTCTAACGGTTGTCACCTCTCAGGCCCCGCACATCGCCATCCTCCAGACTCCTACCCCCACCGGCCGAAGTTTCCATTCATACCCTCGCCCAATGCGGTGCAGCCATGAACTTGCACATGAAGGCAGTCGTTTGTGGACCGAACATCTCGTAACATTCATATCATTCCAGCCGGGCAACCGACAACCCTCATCTCGTTCTGGCATGGTTTTCAATGCGACGTCTCGTCACCACCCCTGGGATCTTCTTTGGGTTTTCAACGTTGCAAATCACGGAAGCCTGGACCTTCGCTCGTACTACAGACTCTGGGAAGGTCAGCAGGCCGCGCCGCGGCTATCAACTAACTCATGGGGTTCTTGGCTGCCACTACCACCCTAGTTCGTGGTGCGAGTCGTGCACAACCAACGTGCGTGCCTTCACTACACTACTTTTACTGCTCTAAGCGCTGGTGTTATTCCATAGCTGTAGGTCAGTATGTGATCTGATATACCTTACGAACTCACGGCCTTCCCCATGTCGCGAAATTTGCTGCCTCAACCTCCTCCCCCATGAGTAGAGGGAGTCGCAGCTACGATACCCAAGAAACCACAGACAGAACCGCCCAGCTTTGTTGGGTCTGCTCGGCCGTCTCCAAGATTCGACGCTAAACATCTCTCGCCGAATACACGCCCTGATACTCATGTTGACTGAAATCGTCGAAGAGATACTCCGGTGGTATGACTCCCAAAACCTCGTCCCGTTTCGACGGGCCTGTCCCGACAGTGGCTTGGATGACCCCAACCGCTATCCTCGATTCCGTCAACACGCTACTACGTCAGGAAACTGCTGTTGCGGAACACGTCCGTATCAACGATGGACCTGCGCAGTATTATATCCTTCCCTGGCAATGCGGCACGTCTCACGAAGGGGGAGAGGTGCTGGAGAACACCGTGCATATCCTTCAGATTGGTTTGGGTGTCTCCCTGCGCGGGGTTATTGGATTTGAAGAGATGTGGCCGATGAAAAGAAATGGTGGAGGATGAGAGGAAACTGGAACCCGATACACCGTTTCGGCAAGGTCGCCGCCGTTGATGACATTATGGCCCTAAGTGCGCGAACTGCAAGCCTTGCGACCCACCGTCTTACGTGATTGTAACTGAACGCAAGCAAGATAGTACCCCAATTTGATCAAGGCCGCAAGCCCTCATAGCACAGTGGTAGTGCGTCCCACTCGTACAGGATGGATCCATGGGGAGGTCGGTTGTTCGAATCAGCCTGTGGGCAATGTTTTACCAGTTTGCTATGGAGGATCTAATCTCTACACATCTAGCTTCTCACTGCTCATGTTGCATGTTGCAAACCATCAACCCTTTTGCAACACCTGTATGACTGGGTTCACATAAAGGGAACAAAAGTGTTGTATAAAATCATAATAAAATTACATGAAAACCTAAATGTTATTCTGTCTTTCCAAACAACTGTTTTCTGCTGACCAGAGAGATTGCATAAAGTGTTGGGTATTCCCGTAGTATTCAAACTCTGATCAAGTGCACACTTCACACCTTCTTTATTTGCTCTCTTTGTTGTGAATGCGTCTGGACTTGTAGATTTACTGTTGTTTTCATTCTTTTATTGGACTTCATTCGCTTTCGTATCATTT